ACATTTTGATGATGGGATCTCTCTGAAATTGTCATACTTCAACATCAAATGAGCCAAATTCTTACAAGTTTTTATTTTTTAGATGTAATAGAATGTTTCTTAGTAAGTTTCATTCTTTCTTACTGTGCCATGTGTTAAATCACTACTTCCCTGCAATGAAAAAAATCAACAGGTACTAGATAGCATTAAAAACTAAAAGCCTCCCATATGTGGCTCCATTAAGCCACTCAAGTACTATGTAGATCGATTCTTTAGAACTACACAGTACAACATTCCCATAATCACACCTACTTTAAAATTCTGTAATGGAAGAATTTTACATTTATCATCACGGTCTTACACATTCTCACCTATATATTTAAATAATCAAATTCAATATGGGTAAAATGATCATTTTGGTCTAAATTACAAGACATCTCTGCTTAGATTTTGTAGATTGTTATGGAAACAAGAAACACTGTCGTTATTTTTGGGAAGTAATTCTATTTGAATTCCTTACTTTTAGTTAAGTACTTTTAATTTGTATTTTGGAACCCAAAAATATGGCGACCACCCCAGTGGCTTCAGCCCATGCCACAAACCTAAATGTCAGTCAGCCTGCACTTACATGAAACACCTAACTTAGAAACCTAACGTATACCAATCACAAACTTCCAACTCAGCTTAAATAGCTCACCTGACCCTAGAAAACAGGACCTGCTGGCCTTACAAGAAAATCCCTGACCTCCGAGGCAACCATGCTCTGTTTTGGTGTTGCTGCTTCTAACGATCTATAAAACTCCCTCTTGCTTAAAAATCCCTGGAGAAGGGAAAGAGTGTTCCACTGCTTACACCCTCAATCTACAGATTGTTTTTTCTTGAATAAAGGACATCAAACTCGTTACTAAATTGTTTTAATTTTGTCATTTGATAGCACCTAATCCTCAAATTTCTTATCTAAATAATCTACCCCCAATTTTCAACTACTTGATTTTATTTGAAATTTTAAAGAAAGATTTATATATTTAGAGTATACCAAAATCAGATGTATTCTAGTTCTGATCATAATCATGAACTTTAACTTTCAATAAAATGTTATTTAAAATTAATGTTAATCACTATGTTTTATGTGAATAATACTGATAAAAAATACCTCCAAACTTAAGACTGACAGCAAATGATTATTATTAAAACCAAATCTGAATTATATTGTTGTTTGTACTGAAGGAAAAAACTCTTACTGGATGTAAATTTTTTACAGTTTACAAGGATGCCATTTACAATCAATAACCTGAGAAGTATGAGATACTGCAAATATTCAGTAATAAAAATATTCTTATTCCAGACTCTCATATTTTTGTTCTAATTCATTAGTTTTAAAAAATCTACATTGAGGTAATTTACATACCATAATACCCAGTCTTTTTAAAGTGCACAGTTTAGTGAATTTCAGAATATTCACAGAGTTATGTAATCATCATCATTATTTAACTTTCATCACGTCCCCATAAAAGACCACATACTCATAAGCTGCCACTCCCCATTCTCCCTGCCCCTAGTCCCTGGTAACTAGTCATCTACTAGTCATTTCATATGAATGGAACCACACAGTACTTGGCCTTTCATGTCTGCCTTTTTTCACTTAGCAGAATGTTTTCAAGCTTCAGGATACATGTTGTAGCAATATCAGTGTTTTGTTCTTTCTTATTAACTAATAATATTCCATCATATAGAGACACCATATTTTATTTATACATTTATTAGCTGATGGACATTTGGGCTGTTTCCACTTTTTGGCAGCTATGAATAATACTCTGAACATTCATGTACACAACTCTTTACATGGAAAGTGCTCAAATTTAATTTTTAGCTTTACATTTGGGTATGGTTCATGATGTGCCAAAAACCATCTTATTTTAAGGTCAAATGATGTTCTCAGCATGAAAATAAGTCTCCTAAACCACACTAACTTGTCTTGATTAGAAACTAAAATTCTGAACTGGAAAGATATAAAGACTAATTTGATTTTTATGCAAAAAATATGAAATAACATTTAGTTGAGTTGAGGTCCATATTACCTATTCCAAGTAGAATTTGGAAACCTCCAGTTTACATATTCATAACTTTATATTAAATCTGGACCATAACATTTGTAATTTAATCAATAAAATGGCATAAACTGTGTTAGAGCCAGTGTCCTTAGCAAGCTATAAAACAGTGACAACACAAGTCAGAATGGCCATCATTAAAAGATCTGCAAATAACAAATGCTGCGGAGGCTGTAGAGAAAAGCGAGCCCTCCTGCACTGTTGGTGGGAATGCAAATTGATGCAGCCACTGGAAGACAGTATGGCCGGTCCTTAAAAAGCTAAAAACAGACGTGCCATAAGATCCAGCAATCCCACTGCTGGGCATATATTCAGGGAAAACGAATTTGAAAAGATACAACTCAGTGTTCACAGCAGCACTGTTTACAATAGCCAAGACATGGAAGCAACCTAAATATCCCATCAACAGATGAATGTATAAAGAAGATGTAGTATATATACACGATGGAATACTACTCAGTTGTAAAAATGAATGAAATAATGCCATTTGCAGCAACATGGATGGACCTAGAGATGATCATACTAAGTTAAAGACAAATACCTAATAAACCATGATGAAGAAGAGTATGTAAGTATACGTATAACTGAATCACTTTACTGTGCACCATAAACTAACACTGTAAGTATACTTCAATAAGAAAAAAAATTCTGTGACAATGTTACAAAGATCTGAAAATACATAATATTAATACTATTAATAATGTAACTATATGTACTAGTCTGTGTTAACCATGTTTATTCACAGTACACTTTAACTAACCCCTGTATTCACAGTATTACAATAATGTGGCTACACTGATGCATTCATATATTAGGACTCCATAATTTGGATTAGTTATTCTGTTGCCACTTTTATGCTATTTTTCTTCATTCTTTATATTCTTCTCCTGTTTTATGCTACTTCTTGCAAGAAAATCTGATTTACCATAATTAGAAAGACTTCAATATAATATTCATTAAGAAGGAAGAGATTGTGTTAGCTCTTCAGCATTTTTGTATCTTTTTAATTTCTGAATGTAACTGTTTCTTTCAACATATAAAACTAATCTTTTTTAGCACATTGCACACTACAATATAAAAAATTATTTTCTTTTTTTCAGATGGGGACATTTCTATCACTGTAATTCAAATAGGTTAAATGCAACTGTCAAGTGGGTTCTCTATATTACCAGATATGTGAATGGTGTTAAGTCTGAGCTACTCCTAAACTGCTTCCTAAATCATCAAAATACTTGTAGGCCATGGTCCTTTTAATTTTAGCCTTAGCAAAACTAAGTAGAAATATGTTTGTTAGTGTAAATACAAACAGAAAGCATATTCAGCCAATAAATTTACTCTAATGCCAAATAAAAATGAATTTGAGATAACGTAATCACTTCTCTCCATTAAGCATGGATAACCTAGAACTTCATATATTAGGATTTATTTACATGCAGTTATTTCTTGGATACAACCCTGATAGTGGTCAATATAAAAAATAGTAGCACCATTATAATACAGAGGTTTAATTTCAGATATAAAAGTATGTTTGTAGGGCACGGAAGACATGAGTTCTTCATCTTCTAAGCAAAATTCCATTACAAAAATTTCTGCAAAACAATCTTCTAGCCTCTACTGATAGCCCACTTATTTTAAAGGTAGTGTTGGATATAAGCAATATCACAGCAAAGGGAGAATTTAGAAAATTCCTTTTATAACACAACACTGTAAATCAACTATATACCAGTGAAAACATTTTGAGGCAATGAATGTGTATTTGTTACACTAGTGGGCAAATTAAAGTTGGCTAATAGTCAAAGGGTAAAAAAATAAACACCTTAGTAGTTGACAGTGAGAGCTTTTCAACTATATTTTAAGATACAAAAAAAGAGCTTGGAGATCAGACTGCCTAGGTTTAAATCCTGGCTTTATTACTTAGTAACTGTAAGACCTTGAATGTTTCATCTGTGCAATGGGGATTTGATGAGATAGAGAATTCAAGGGCCCAGCACATAGTACTTCGAATAATTGTTAACACCTATTATTAAGCGTTTTAAGTATATATTGTTTTTAATATCTTTCATCTTTGGTTATTATTTTCATTTTGCAATCCTTGCACCATGACTTATCTGTAAAGGTGTGTAATAATTAAGAGTGATACAGTAAAACGTAAGCTATCCGGAATGTTGAGAAACCCAAAGAATACATTTGTAGGTATCAAAAAATAAAACAAATGGGATAAATTTATTTCCTACCCTATAACATGTTTCCATGTCTTCTAAACAGGAGTATACCAGTGGTAAACTCTTTCTTAATAAATCACTATTATTATGAATATCAATTATATGTCTATGTTAAAATTTCACAATCTCTTAAAAGCCTACCAACAGGAATATGTCTGTTTGATTCCACCCAAGGATTTTTTAACATTAAGTCCATGAATAGAATTCAGGGACTGTGTGAGATTGAATTTTTAAAATTACGTCTTTATATTCACTAAATCTCCCAAGTGAAAATTAGCATTTCCTTCAATCATGAATGAAAGCAGCAAACAGCTGCACCTACATATGTATCTCCAACAGAAATCATAGATCCTTTGTATCACATTACAACTGCTGCAAACTCTGGAAATTTTATGTTTATTATTATTTCAAAAGTTTGGTCTTTATTAGAGCCTCCACTAGATCTTACTGTGTTAATAATAAAAAACTTGTATTCCCATATCAAAAGTTTTTCTTGGGACTTCCCTGCAGGTCCAATGGTTAAGGCTCTGCTCTCAATACAGGGGGCCCCGGTTTGATCCCTGATCAGGTAGCTGGATCCCACATGCTGTAATTAAGAGTTTGTGTGATGCAACTAAAAATTCTGCATGCCACAATTAAGACCCGGCACACACAAATAAATAAAAGTTTGTTTTACTTTAATATTTTGAGATTCTGTTTCAATTTTTTTTATTTTGTAATGCTATGAATTTTATTTTATACTTTTAAAAGCATAAATGTAAGAAGAGTCCATGGTTTCACCAGACTGCTAAAGTGGTTTGTGACTCAAAAAAGTTAAGAAAGTTGACCTCAAATTTGTCCCAGTCTGCTGTGCTCTGTTAATTTAGAACATTAACATGGTCCATTGTATTTTCATACCAAAGTTTGTTTAGATTATAGTAGTACAAATTAGCTTCTCTGGGACTTTTCTTCATGGACCTCTTGGATATCATGCATTTCCATTGAGTAGGCAGGAATATTTCCTCCCTTGTACCTTGGCTTCTGAAAGAGCAAAACAAGTAAGAGGGAGAAATAAGTTAAATAAAAGTAGCTTCAGATACACTGAAAGTAGAAATATAAAACATTCTACTCTTCTACTTTCTAAATTAAGAGACAATAAATACTCCATTCAATAATTTACTCTGGCATTAACTGCATGGGTTCAAATTCTACTTCTATTTATCAGCTCTGTGACCTTGGGACAGTAACTTAATCTCTCTGTGCATCAGTCCCTTTATTTGTAAAAGGAGGTTAATAAGAACTGTACCTGGTACATTATAAGCACTGTACCTGGTACATTATAAATGTTCTATATTATTGTTATAGATTTGTTTCACCCTATGGCCAGTTAATGTTTGACCAATTAATAACATTTATATAGCACTGTAGTCCACAGTGCCAGTTCACATGCATTATGACATCTGAAGCACATAATAACCCTGTGAGAAAGGACAGTTATTATTACACCTACTTTAGTGTTGAAGGAACTAAGACAAGTAACCTCAACCAGTATCACACAAATAGGAAGCAACGGAACAAGAACTCAAACCTGGATTTGTTCTCTCACTCTAACTGCCAAATCCTTTGTATCTACCACAGGAGACTGGTTACAATAAAGAACAAAAGAAAGCTTATTCAAGGAAGAGGGAGGGGGCAGAAGTGTCGGAGGGGGCAGAAGTGGCGGCAGGCCATGAGGTAAGCACTATGATGCTCTGGAACTCACTAGGTGGTCCTCTGAGTAATCTGTATCACCTAGGACCGTGTTAGAATTATAGAATCTCAGGCTCCACCCTGGCTTACTAAATCAAAAACAGCATTTTTGAACAAGTCCCTAGTGACTGAAGATACTAGTTTGAAAAGCATGTTCACTAATTGCTCTAGTGATGCTATTATGATCACTTGAATAATATATATTTATCACAGACCTAAGAAGTTTTTATTAGGTAATACTCTAGCTTACTGCTTTCCTTTTTTAAAACTTAAGAATTAAAACTTAAAAATTGAAAACAAATTTTTATATCCATTCTTAAAGACCTTCACACTCTTAAGTGGGACCATTAAGGAGCGTTAGAAAACTTGAAGCAGGTCAGTGTTTACCTTTCAATTCCTTTTAAAAATTAACGTCTTACTACCCTTTGCCTGAGATATGATATACTGGAAGGCAAAACCAACTGTCCTTTGTTTTCACCGGCAGAATAAAACCTTACATTTATCCCCCTGGATATTTCAGATACTTTCAGTAAGTATTCAGTTTCTCGGACTCCAAACTCTGATTTCTTGAATGAGTTTTTAACTTTCTGGCTCTAGGGACTGAGAGCAACAGGAAGAAAAAGGTATTAGGCCTACTCCCATACCTAAACCTTGGCGATGGTGACCAAAGGCAAGTAAACAGCCCGCCCCAATCCCTATTTTCCATCCTAATAATTCACAGTCGAGCTTAATTTCTAGGCTGCTCTAATTCCGGGGACTGGTCAATGGGCACACTCTTCTCTGCGTTGATCTTCTAGGCCCTGGGTCAGAACAGCACTAACTTTCCGCACGTGGGAGCGCTGATCAGGGGCCTGCCAGGTTCTACTTAAAATAACTGTTCCCATTTTGAGGGGCGACTTCTCCCAGAGGTTAATCAGTCCTGGCCGGCAGGCGAGCCAATGTCGCTCACCTGTTCCACCGGAAACTTCAAACGCAGACTCTATCTAGATTAAAGGTATCCAGTAATTAACGCATAGTACCTCCCACCGCACATTCCTGATTGGGCGCGTGAGAGAGGGATGTGTCGGCTCGCGCTCTTACCAGTCCGGGGAATTCCATTTCCTCTCCCTCCCACCAGCATAAGCATTCAGGGGCGGTGCTTCCCGGTTGACGGCCCGCCCCAGCTCGAGCCTGTGGCCCATCGGCATCTCGCGAGAATTTGTGGATTTGGGGGCGGGCCCCTACCAGGAAGAGTGCACAAAACTGCCCTTAAGTCATTGCAGCGCTACAGCTCCTGTTAACCAGCCTCGAGGTTCTCGCGAGATCCGCCTCCTCAATACCAAGTGAGGAAATTGGGGGATACTTTCGGGAGGGGCGTGGGGCGCGACCGCGCAGCTGCCGCTTTCATTACCTTCCTGCCATGGTCTCCTTCCGGTTCTCGATGCTTCTCTGAGTGTGAGGGTTTCCGCCGGTCGTCTACCCTTCCCCCCAGCCCATGACTCGCCTTCGGCCCCCGCCCTCCAAGTCCAGCTTCCGATCTGTTTAATAAGAAGGTGCTGTTCCGAAAAGGAGAAAGGGGTTGGCACAGATACGCTCGGCCCTTGACGTGGGGAGGAAACCGTCCCCCTTCAGCCTTAGATTCGTCCTGTGCTCGAGACGGCGGCGTTGGCGGACTGATACGCGGCGGTGAAGAGGCAGGAGGAGGGGGGAGGGGCGGAGCGTGGCAGCTGGCAGTAGTTCCGTCAGAGCGGACATCTTGTGGCTGTGTCGTGCGCGTGAGCCCCGTAGGGCCGGGGAGGCACCAGCTGCCGCGCGGGGAGGAGGCCGAGGCCGCAGCGTGAGGGAGGCCCCGGCCCCTCTGTACGCGTGGGTGTGGACGGCTAGGGGAAGGGAAGGGAGGCTGGCCCCCTGGCCGGCCGGGTAAGGGGAAATGCAGGCCTTCGGTGGCTTCAGTGACCAGCCTGTTGGGTGGGGTGGGGTGGGGTGGGAAGGCTAGAGAAGCCGGGGCCTCTTCTGCTTAAGAGGGAGGGGGAATGGGCGCGTCCTCGCGCCTAAGCCGGAGCCTCAGGGGCAGCTCGGGCGCGTGGGGGCTGGCGATGGCTGGGCGGGCGCGCGCGGGAGCGCGCTGGAAGGCGGTGTGTACGGTGGCGTCAGGGGCGACACAGAATAGCTCTAGCTGCGGGGACAGCAGCACACTTCAAGCCTCTTTGCTTCCTTCCCCTCCCCGGCCGCACCTTTGAGCAGAAACCGAAAGGAGCCGGGCATCAGTCCGGAGTCTCCTGTTTCCCCCTCCCCCCTTGCCTTTCTTTGCCCTACTGACGCCGGCATAGCGCCGACTAGGCCCCGGCTCCTCCTCTGCTGCGCCCCGGACCCTGCCCCGCACCCACCCCTTTCTCCTCCGCCTCTTCCTTTCCCACCCGGGTCTCTTCCTTTCTAGAGGCCGGGAAGTCAAACTTGCAGCCACCCCTCCGCTCTTCCCGTCATCCTCGCCCCCTCTTCGGGCCGGAGCACGGCATAGAGGCTGGCGGTGGCTCTGCCACCCCACCCACCCCGGATCGCGACCGTTTTTGAGGGACTTGGATTCGTCAGGGTCTCTGCGGAGCCTGTACGAGTGCTCATTTGCTCCATTTTTGCAAAAGGCGCCTGTGTCTGGCAGAGCCGGTGTGAGACGAAGAGACAATCCTTCCCAGCCGTTGGGATAATCAAAGAGTTTTGGCCGGACCTTCGAGCACACACCGAGATAGTGAGGAGCCAGACGAAAAGCACAGACTATGGCGCTGAAACGGATTAATAAGGTAACACTGGGGCTGAGGGGAATAGGGTCGTGGGAGGAAAGGGAGGCTCAGCCTGGAGGAAAGCCTTGAGTGGAGCAGTATAATATGGAAATATTCCTCCTTGGGTCACTTCCATTGGGGATAGGGAACGCGTATATACTTTATGAAGAATGGGGTTTGAAAAGAACGGAACACTTCTGACAAGTGAGGAGTGTTATCTTGAGTATGTTTCAATGGAATCGGTGCAAATTAGGGATGGAGAGTGATTTCAGGCGTCTCGGTTCTTCTCTAAGAAGTGTTAGTCCCCTCTGGGAGTCAGACTTGGCCAGAGACGTTCCCGCAGATGTCATGGCGTTCCTATTCTCATTGCTTGAAAACTTTGTTGTTATATCAAGGCTCTGTGCTTTCTGGAGGAAGAAACGTGGGAAACGCAGAGGAAAGAAAATCTAAGAAATCGGCAGGTCCCAAACTTGATAAAAGGGGTCAGGGTAGAAGTCTTGGCAGCTGAAGAGTAGTGAGTGAGTCTAATCAGAAAGTGATCGTCAATACTGGGCAGGTTACACAAGCATAAGTTGAGTTGGGAGAAGATGGGCTGACACAGTGTTGCCATTTCCTGTGTTTTGTAGTCGGTGCTTTTCACCCGAAGCTGTTATCAGAGGCACACCGGGAGCTGATGTAAAACCTTTCTGGAAGCTCCGTGTTTCTTTGGTATGGGAAGAGGGGGAGGGTAGAGAGTGAGATGGCAGCACGAGAAGGCTAGTACCTATTTTTGCCTCTGTCTATTTAATAACATTTTCTGGGAAAATTGCTTCGCTATATACAACGAGGTTTGATGCTCAACTGTGGCTACAAGTTGGAAAAAACAGGGTTTTTTGAGGTTCTGGGGGTGAACGGAACCTCCACCTCCGGTGGTTTAGTCTCATTTTCTTGCTCTAACTTCTATCCCGCATTTTAAGATGGCGGCTGCTTTAACTGGTTCAGGCTCTTTCCGGCATCTCTTCTTGTAATATGAAATAATAATTGTTTAATGTTATCTTTTATATCAGACTGTACACTGCTCTAAGACCTCCTACTTAAGACTTAACTATATTCAAACTCTCAGACTGTGTTTCCCTTTTTTGTAACTTGTGTGTGTGTGTGTGTGATGTTTGGTTCTTGCACAATCGAAGAGGGTGGAGTATTTCCAGCTTATTTGAAAAAAATGCTGTGGAATAAATTCAGCCTTACTAAAACTAGGAGACAGAAGGTTGTGGGTTGCAAACTTTGGTTTTTGTTAGGTTATTTCTTTTAAAAGAGTTTATATGGAAGGAATGGCTAGGACTTGGATTTACTAAAAATAGACCTGATTCTGCTTAATTTTACATTTAATGTGTGACTTTTGGAATATATTTGGCAAACTGCTGTTTTATGAAAGAAAAGTTTAGATCATCAATGTATTGATGTGTTGAAATGGTGAATTTTATTTCAGGCCATCGTCACTGTGGATGTATGTGAAATATAAACTGAAGTTTTTATTTTTGAGACAATGGGAAAGGAGTAGGAGTTAAGACTTAAAGTAAAAAGGATTATCAGACCACTTTCTGTGACCACTTTGAAGGCCAACAACACATTGGAGAAGCATGGTTATATTTTGCAGTATAGTTAATAAAAAGAACATAGCATTCCTTGCAAGTCAACACCTTTTTTCTATGGGAATTCATCCAGGCCACTAAGATGTGGAATGATTTCAGATCCACAGATTTTTATGCACGTAGAACAGAATACTTTAAAGGGAAGGTCTCATTGGTTTTTTTTCTTTTACAGGTGATACCCAGCTGCTGTGACACCACTTTAATCATTTAAAAGCTCTAGAGAGGCAATGTAATGGTTAAGGGTGTGAACTTTGGAGCAAAAAAATGCTCAAATTAGAATTTTAAGACTGGGAAAGATTTTGTCTGTGTGCCTCTGTTATGTATGAGCTGTGAATAATTGAGTGTTTAGTATGTACCAGGCACTATTCTAGATCATACTAAGGATGCATCAGTGAGCAAAACGAATAGAGTCCAAGATTTTTTTTTTTTTTTTTTGAGGATTAAATCAGTTCAGGTGTGGCTTTGAGCAGACCCCCCCCCACCCCCCCAGCACCTGGTACTCATACTGTTACTGCAACTTTAATATTCACTGTGTTTAATTTTTAAGAGCTTTTATTAAAGAACTTTTCTAGTCTAGTACTCTTCATCAATACCATACTGTCCTTTTATAAATACTTAGAAGGTCTGTGTAATACGGAAACTGGACCTAATACTTTGCAAAACTGGAAAAAAGTGTTTATGTGGGACGTTATTGATTCAGTCTATAGAAAAGTTGTGGTTTGGTTTTCAGCTGTTTAGTGTCAGAATCACATGGTCAAACTAAAAAACAACCCAAAAACTCAGATTCAAACAATTTTAGCACGTGGACAGCTCTGATGGGAGATGCTCTTTATTTTTAAATTTTTTCTTTCCTGCAGCTGCCCAGATTCTAAATGTTGATAGATCGGTATCCTTCGTTGATATTTTATTGAAATGCTTATTTGGGGAATATTTTTAATCAGTAGTAGTTCATTTGATTTAAGTTTTTTAATTTCTTTCCTGAAGCTTATGTTACAATTTTGTTTATTTCTTGGACCAAGCAACCTTATCAATCAACTCTTTTGTTTTTCCTCTTGTACTTATTTGGACAAGCTGTGATATTACAAGGGCTGTTAAACAACAAGAATCAAAAAATGGGAACTCCCACGTTAGTTGGTGGTGTTTTGAGAGCCATAGACAATTTGTCTTCTCCCATTAAACAAAATAACCACTGTCCATGTATTTTGAGGAAGTTTAAAGAGAACTTTACATAAAATATAGTATGAACCAAACCTGAAAGAATAGTTCATGCTTTGAGTGTTTGCAGGGTGTCAGAACTGTTTGAAGCACTTGTGTTAACTCATTTAATCTCAAGACAGTCCAAGGAAGTAGGTACAATTGTTACCTCCATTTTTGAGATTAGTAAACCTGAGGTACAGAGAGATTTAAAAAATCCACCTAGGGTCATAGCATGGCAAAGTTAAGATTAGAACCTAGGCTATTGGACTCCACAAAGTGTGTACTCTTAACCACTACATTTTCATGTTTCTTTTTAGGGGGTTGGTATTCAAAAAGGTTTCTTTTGCATATATCTTTCTGCTAATAGCTAGGTTTTAGCATCTACTGTGTATTGAACACTGTTTCTAAGCCCTTTATCAGTATCCTCTCATTTTATCCTCACAACCACCATATGAGATGGATGCTCTTAACATTCCCTTTTACACATCAGGAAACGGGCGTGGAGTAAGTTCCTTGTCTTATGCTCAGAATGGCTAGGAAGGGACTGAGATTCAGATGAGTCTGCTTCAAGAATTCAGACTCCTCAGCTCCTTGTGAACCGCTGCTTCGAACAATTTCAATTCCTAAATTTAATTTTGCTTCCTGAAATAACCTCTCCTCTTACTGAACCTTTAGATAATTGGGATTTAACTTTATTCTTAGGTTATAGCTAATTCTTCAGTTTAGATCTGAGCTAAGATAAGTTTTGGAAGTAGAAGTGAATTTCTTCTTTGGTTAGTATCTTCAAGGACTAAGGAAACCACTATGTGCTACTTATTTGAGTAAGGTTAACTGAGACTTGCTTTGGTTTCATCTTGATCCTCTACAAGGTTAATTCTGGTAGTTATACAAATGGGAAGTTGAATACTCTTGCTTTAGCTCTGGGGAAAGGCATCATTGGTTATGTCTATCATATTGTATGTTAACTCGTGGGTTCAGGTGTCCTTTGATACCTCAATTCTTGAGGGTTTTCCAAAGCATTTCACTATAATCTCTTTATTAAAGAAGACAGACACCAAGTTCCTAGAACTGATATTAAGTGTTAGTCAAATCCTAAATTAGGTTTTGCATTCTATTACACACTATGTGAATTTTGACCTGGGTTACATTTATGTATTAGAATGTTAAAAACAGTTTTTAAAGAGTGTAAGTACATGAGGTCTTACCAGACTTCAGACTTACTAAATCATTTCCCTGGGATCAGGCATAATTTTGAAATGTCCCCTAGGTGATTCTGAAGCCTCCTCTGGTTAAGAACCTCAGACATGGGGTGGGGGTGGGGTGGTGTGTCTTCGGTCATGTCTGAGGCTTTGTGACGCCATGGACTATAGCCCACCAGGCGGCTCTGTTGGTGGGATTTTCCAGGCAAGAATACTGGAGTGGATTGCCATTTCCTTCTCCAGAGGATCTTCCGGACCCAAGGATCCGGACCCATGGCTCTGGTGTCTCCTGCATTGTCAGGCAGATTCTTTACCACTGCACCACCTGGGAAGCCCTAAGACATAAGGAATAGTCATTTAATCTTACTGAGGTCTTAATGTTTGGCCCAGTAGCCTAGTCCCAGGGGACAAAATACAGGGAAACCTGTTATTACCCGTGGTACTCTCTGTTTTGAGTGAGGGAAGCAAGCGTATAAATGCATAAATTGATATTTGTCACCCTGTATAACTTTTCAAAGTTACTATAA